CCTCCTCCCCACCAATAAACAGGTTCCTAGCTTGTTAACAGAGTGTAGCCGGGTATAACTGACTTAATGATCTTTAATTTCTTGCTTTTCATGACGACATTGAAGGACCGAGTCGAACCTTCTGGTGAAGTTTATTTCTAGTAATTACATTCATGATACCATTTACATTGTTGTCTGTTGTTAAGCATCAATTTAGCGATTTTGACGTTGAGACGGCGGTTCAAGTCCTTTCTGAAGACTGCTGCTACCTTCAGAATATGCTAGCAACTCAGAATATGCTAACAACTCAGAAGTTGTGATGTAGTTGTTCCAGTATACATTACGCACATTCAAATGAATAGCCGGGTGAATATACCATAGCCTGTATCATTAACCGGCGTTTTATTGAATGAAGGATTCAGTGAAGGTTGGCCACACAGCGGATTAAAAAAGGAAAATTTTCTTTTAGCTTTCGACGGTATATACAACTAAGTTTGTCATTTACATAAAAAATAAAATAAAATTGCCATTTTTCGGAGTCATTACTTCCGGAACTTTACCTCACGGGATTTCTTTCTTTTTAAGTATTTGTTCCAAGAACGCTCATTTCAGTTAATAGGAATTCACTAAGTGAGCTTTGTGCTCTGCGCTACGTGTTTGTTAGACATCATATGATCGGTTAGTCTGGCTCCGAATTATCCTGCATGTACTAGAACTTATACCTCACCGATGATTATTTGAGCAATAACCTTGAAGGTCCGAGAGGATTAAACTTCCGAAAGTAGCGGCCTCGAGCACAAATTGACTCCTTACGAGAGGCAACTGGAAATAGACAGATCGAACAATTCGAACAAACCTGATTTGATATTGGTTGCAGATGACCCTTATTTCCAAATTAACACGTTACACTGGGTTGATGTAATGTGATTTTTTCGACCAAACTGTATCCTTCTGAGATCTCTAGGCATTAGAAACATTTTGATTGTATTAAAATGGAACGGTCAGCATGAGCCCTGAATCGAAAGAAGCGATAGGGAAAGGCTGAAAAACCGAAAGTAGAACGTTGAGAAAAGATAAGTTGTTTCAGTATACATAACGCACATTCAAATGAATAGCCGGGTGAATATACCACAGCATGTGTGATTAGCAGGCGTTTTATTGAATGAAGGATTCAACGAAGGTTGGCCACACAGCAGATTAAAAAAGGAAAATGTTCTTTTAGCTTTTGACGGTATATATGATCGAGGTAGTCACTTATAAAGAAGTTACTTATAAAAAAGTAATAGTTCTTTCTGGTATAATTCAGAAGTTGGACCACCAGCCCTGCGTAAAGAACCATTATCCCCTTCCCTCCCCGAAGAAACCAGTGTTCTTTCTTTCTCCTGGAGTCAAGGATGGCGGTGTTAGCATGGTTTAGCCGTGCATATGAAGCTTAAATTTTTTGTTTCCTTGACTATATTGTAGGACCGAGCGTAATTTTCCGTTGA